ATCTGCCCAAAATTCATCCAAATCACTTGTTACTGAGTTCATTATTTGGGTTAATTGTACAGTTTTTAATATAATATAAAATGTCCATAATATATATTACATAGTCAGTTATTTAGTTTCCTAAATGATAAAAAAGGGGTCCTTTAAGGAACCACTGCATTACATAACTCAGAATCAATCCCACCATGAATGAATGAATGAATGCAGCTAAAAGAATATTGTTGTTTAAAAAAAACCAAACATTTAATCTCCCACTGAAACCGGTGAAGGTCAGGAGGGACTCCGAGGTTCAAAGTGTTGTTCTCGGGTTGTTTTTCCTCAGAATTGGGTAACAACATGAAACGGGACGAGGCGCCGGGTGAGGAGCACATGTTCCTACGTCACGGACAACACCCCCGTCCGGCCCTCTGACGTCACCGCGAGGAGCTGTTGAGGTCAGCCCGCAGCCCCCCCTCCGCTGACAGCGCCACCGGGCCGGGAGCACCGGGATCAGACACACGTCGCTCTGCGCTCACCGTGCCTCCGGTACAAAAAGGCGATTTATTTATTTAGTTTCAACACAGAGGCACGACACGAGTGATGGTGGCTGTTTGAAAGGAGACAGAAAGCGAGAAGATGGCACAGAAAGACACGCTGCTGCATCTGTTCGCTGGGGGGTAAGTTAAAGTTACGTCCTTTTAACAAAGCTTTAACAGCTCGGAGCTTAATGCGACAACACCTTAGGTTACCTGGTGTTTGCTGAGTCACATAAGTTGGTCTCGGAGCCTGTATGAAGCCAAACTGTTCGTACTTCTGACGGAGGTTTTAGAGCCGATAGCCGGCGTGCTAACGGATAGCTAGCTCGTGTTAGCTCAACGCGATCTTTCGGAGGCAGCTAGTTAGTTAGTTTAACATCTGTTCTCTACACTGGTTCACTTATTTGTCGTGTAAAATGACTAGGGGGAAGCAGTGACTATCAGTTGAGTCAGCGTTGTCGAGAAATGAACACATTTTATTTCCTTAAACCCGCTGGTTGAGTTTACATCCGTGCGGAAGTTGGCTAGCCGGCTGACGCCACCGCTAGTTAGCACGACACCGCTGCTCGTTGTTTGGACAGAAGGTCGTTTTCATACAAACGTGGTGTTTTAAAGGATAAACTGTGTTAAACCCAACGCTGCACGGTGTGTCTGGACACTGAGAGTAGGCGTATTCTCCCGCCAGTGGTTGTCCTGTAGCCTGTAGCCTGTAGCTGTCCTCTGGTGTTACATAACACTGGACCTTTAACAACATTAACAGCAGCTACAGCTTCGTGCTAGCGGTGCCGGCAGTCCTCCATCACCTGGCTGAAGACTGCTATTTTAAAACAACCCCCCCCCAGTATCATAATGTGCAGTGTCGAGCTGGATGGCCTCTAGTTTATGTTGAGGTCACATTTAAACTACACCGGCTACTTTAAAATGACGCCATTTTACCCTTGAAGTGTTTCAGCCTTTTAGGTTATTAACTCGTTTTGGTTCTACGTTGTAATTATTTATTTTTTTTTAATGAGAAATAAGTCAAATGTATAAAAATGTCCACTCATGTTTTGAGTTGAACTGAATCATTTCAAAGGCAGTATTAAAACATGCAATGTGAACTTTATCGAGGGTGCATGTTTACCTCTGGAGTCAACAGTTAAACAGAAAGCCAGCAGACTTTTGTCGGTTTTATAAACTATATCTTGACCAATACATTATCTACACACTGTAATTTTATAGTAATAGTAAGTATGAAAAGTATGATTGTCATTTACTCTTCCACCCATCCTCCTAAATGTCTTATCTGTGTGGTCAGAGGTCATGGCCACAACAACTGCCCGGCACACTATTACAACAGGGTTACATGTGTTTGTCAGATTAGGGTATGCGAGGTGGAACACTTAATCCAGGGTGTAATTTTCTCTCTGATTTCCAACCATCATAGGTTACTAATGATCAGTCAATGGACGATTGGGTCAGGTATTACTCCTGTAAAGATGTTTGACTCTGTCCTTTAGACACTACAGAGGCTTAGTGTAATCTGTCCCAGACGTCTAAGCTTGTCACAGACAAGGTTACAGACACAGTGACACATTGTTAAGAACTAAATGAATGAATGGCCCATGCTGAACTATGAAACATGCTGTAAAAACAGTATTTCTGTGAACTGTTAGAGGGTCTGAGATGGTAAACCCTGTGCACCAGATGTCTCGGATTAACTCCGCAGTATTTCTGCTGCAGAGCAGAGAGACTGCTCTTTGACCATAATTGTTCATTACACTTGCCAGTAGCTCCCGGGTCTGTGTTATGATGGAAGGAAAAAAAACACTCCTCAGTCAAAGCAGATATGAATAGCCTTATAAATAACCGAACCACAGTTCTCTGAGCAGGTCAGCCACTGTGTTACATTTATTAGAGCATACATGTAATGAGCAGTGGGACTTTGCATAATTTGTTTGCAAGCTTTTAGGCACCCCAAGATCCATAATCCTAATTCTTATGTGTTAAATTTCCAGATGTAGTGGTACGGTGGGAGCCATCATGACCTGCCCCCTGGAGGTGTTGAAGACGCGGTTGCAGTCCTCTGGCCTCACCCTCAGACCCGTCTTCCAGGTCCAGCTGGGCACCCTAAGTGGCACTGGGGTTATCCGACCGGGGCCTGTTACACCGGGGCTGCTGCAGGTCCTGAGGTAAGATATTTGCTTATGTTGTTGTTAGGCAAACGTGCTGTGTGAGATTTCCCTAGAGGCATTTGTATTTTTCTACTTGACAACAAAGGGACAAAATGTTCCCTCCTCACAGCTGGTGCTCTTAGCTGTTTATCACAACGGCCTTGTCGGGACTGGCATAATTGGTAGTTTGAGGCTTGTAGTTGCCTGGTGGCGTCCTACTGAGGTTTACCCTGAGAATACCTAACTGTTTAGGCATGTGTTTACAAAATAACCGTTTTTGTGTGGAACAGTTGTATAAGGACCTGTGTGTTTCTTGTGCTTCAGTTCATGGAAACAGCTTTTCATTTGATTTCTGCTTTCGTAGTCTTAAAATCAAGTCCTCTAATCTCGCCCTACATAGAGTGAGGATTAAGTACACACTGTATCCTGCTTGTATTCAGTGTCTTTAACCAGCTGTTTGGGTCAGCACAAAACATCCTTTTCCACCAGGCAGAAAGGCATAAAACCAGATTTTTGTGGTGTCTGTGGAAAAAAAAGCTCTTGTATGACTCTATCTGCTTAGCTTGGGGAAGACTAGAAGTAGCGTGCCAAAAAGGAGGGAAGGTTTTAACCAGGGTGCTGTATCAGTGTTATATTACACTGAGGACAGGGGCCACAAATGAACCGGTCTGGACTGGTGTCTGCTGTAGCTGTAGACTGGAAAGTTACTAATGCCGTTAGACATTTTTTTTCCCCTCCTTTCTGCAGGTCTTTTGCCATTTTTTTAAAAGTTATTTTAGTTGGTATACATTTATTTTTTTAGGCCATTTATAGGCTTATATTTATGTAAAATATGCAAAAAAAAAGTCCATTATGGACTTCAAATCCCTTCTCCAGCCATCAAAACCTTTAGAAGAGGTTTCAATGACGAGGCTATTAATTTGTTCGAAACTCATTGTTTGAGAAGAGGGAGGTGTATATCAGTAGGAGAGAAGTGGAATGCGTGAAGACTGCTTGAAAGACAGGTCTGCATTACAGAAACGAACACAAATTGCAGTTATACCCCCCCCCCCCTTTGCTTGGCCCCAGGCAGACCAGACGGTCATCTGGAGGATGAATTTCACTGCCTACAAAGAGTTAAAAGAACTCTGTGGGGATGTGGCTGACGTGACAAGCTGAGCATTGCAGAGGGGACCGGGTTCAGTGTACAAACTACCAACCCAGTTCATTGGAACAGGACTGGTGTAACACTTGGGAGGATTGCAGGCAGGGTCTGAAATTAAATATTTCCCTCAGTCCCAAATTCTACTTCAAACGGTTCCAGACTAAACAATCATTAGCCTAAAAGTTATTTCTTTTTCCTAATGCATAATGAATGTAGTTTCGGCCCCTAGTTGTTTGTCCACAATCATGTGACGTGTGAATCTGTTTTCATTATTCTTTTAG